TAATTCAATAACTAATCAGTTATAAATTAAAAAAAAATTATAATCGATAAATTAAAATTAGTGAATAATAATCATTGATTTAGTTGAGCTTTAATATATAATTTTAGTCTTAATCAACTTGCGTATTGATTTAAATATTTTGTGAAAATTAATATGAAATACTAACTACAGTTTAAATTTTATATAACTAAAAATGAAAGATAACATATTTTTGATAAACTTCAATTTTTAGTGTTTAATCTTATAAACACTGTCACACCAAATAATTTAAATTATTAAAATATTTATAAGATGATATAAAAATATGTCAATGTTACGTGTTATGTTTTGCTGTATGCATATCCATTTTCAAAAATACCACTAAAAGTACTTCATTTACAAAAATGCCACTAATTAAATATTTTTATACCCTAAATCTTGAAATTCTATACCATAAAAAGATTTTGACCCCGAACAAGCCCTAAACTATCAAAACTAAACTCTAATACAACATAGTTAACTCAAACATAAATGATATATCGAGTAAATGATTTTTAAAAATTGGTTTTTTTGCAAAAAATTTTTAAAAATAGCATTTTTGAAAAATGGCACTTCAAAAGTGGTATTTCTAAAAAATTATCTATGAACAATGTCACCCCAAATATGGTGTAACCTAGTTCATAAAATACTAAATATTTAGTGTTATGTCGTTCGATTAGAGAGATTTTAACACCAAATTTAGTGTTATGGTCTTGCACTGGAGTATTTATAGAGATTATGTAATCGGATACCGGGAGGGTGGGGGTCTTCTGTGTTTTCAAGATGATCTGCGTTGATGTCGAAATCTAAATCTTTCAGGCTAATATCGCTTTTAAGTTTGCTAGCGGCTACCTTTGTAGCGAGTCTCAGTCCCAGCACGTGACAATTGGCGGTTGAGTGTCCAAAGACATGGTGGTGATCATAAGAGCCTTGGCTCCTGGTCCACGTGTTTTTTCTTCGACCTTGTCCTCGATCACGGCCATATTTCGGTGATTCAATTTGATAGTAGTGAACCCCCTCGAAGTCTCCATTGTGTTGTACGTATAGAGAACCTTGGTCGCCTTTCTTGATAGCTAGAGGGTTCGCAGCTTGGGATTGATTATCAGTCTATTTTGATTTCCCATACTTCATAGCCAATATTCGCACCTCCTCTTCGTTTTTGTGAAACTTGTC